TTTACTTTAGAATCGAGCAAGGGCAGAATCACTTTGAACATCTCAGTCTTTAGGCTTTTAGGACAAAGCCTGCCCTCAAATAAAATTTTAAAGCTTCCCACTTTCCTATTTTCCAGACAAATGGCTTGATGCTAGTGTCTGCTTCGCCAAGCTTCAAGACAAGGTCCAGTGGAATGACCCTGGAAATGTTTTGAAAGGACAGTTTCCTATCCCTCATCCACCTGAAAATCTCCGAAGGGGTGGATTCTGTTTGATTTTCAACCATCAAAATACTCTTGTACTTCTCCTTGAGAATAAAGTTTTGACAATGTCTCAATTTTGACAGCTCTGAGTTTAGTGCGGCTGTAAAATCAGTAAGATTCGTGAGCTCGTTCTTTGGAGATGCTGCAAATCCAGCAACTTTCGTTGTAAATTCTTGGAATGCTTTGTCTTCTCTGTTCATCGCAGTGGTAATTGCAAATCCATTGAACATTGGGGCAAGACTTTGGAAAGATCAACCTCTTCGGCTGTACGCTTAATCTAGCAATTAAAAGCCACAATACATCGCCCATCCACACAGGTGATTTGCCTTTGGGCCCGCTCAGTTGCTTTCTTGGATGCAAATTTTTTAAAAAATTTTAGCCCACAGCCATGGGTAAAGTCAGAGGAAAGTCGGTCAAGAGGGCGTCCCGCTCCATCATCGAAATGTATTTCAGCAGAGTCAACAAGGACTTTGAGAACAACCTGTCTGTGGTCAGAGATGTCACCATAACACAAAACAAGAGGATTAGAAACCAAATTGCGGGATATGTGACCCGGCTCTACAACAGAATCCAGAAGGGGGTTGTCAAGGGAATTTACATCAAGTCCCACGAGGCTGAGAAGGAGATGAAGGAGAGGTTCATTCCAAAGGTCGGTGTTTTGGATGTGGAGAAAGTGATGGTTGACCCCGTCACCTTTTCTATGATAAAGAAGTATCAAATTCAGGGAAACTACGCCTCAGTTGGATCTGAAAGATCGCAATAAATGCAGTTGATTTTTAGATGTTGTTTTTGGAGAAGTGATTTGCAGTGTTTAATTTGTGGTTTCCGTTACAGCTGTGTGAGAGCTAAAAGTCATTTCAGTTTTGGAGTCTTTGTATCACAAATCATGCACCTGACAGCTAAACCACGGATATTTAATAAATTATTAGCACAAACGGAATATGACATTAGCAATATTGACACTAATATCTGCAATAAGCAGTCACTCGGTTCTACAAAACATCCAGAAGAACGGATATGCAGACAATCTCATTGATGCTTTTAAAGACCACGAGGTCGAGTGTGTCTCAGGGGCAGGTTCTGGAGCGATGCGAAATTATTTCTTAGACGGCACGGGCGGGAATGCCTACACATCCAAGTCGCTGTTCTCAGAATACGATAAGTATGGAAACTTAACTGGTGGTGGTGGGCTAATAAGCGACCAGGGGTATGTAATGAAAGGTGGGCTCAACAGAATACTAGGCGCAAGTCTTGAAAGTGGTGTGAGTCTCGAGGATGCGATGCTCAAGGATAGAATGAGAAACTTTAAGGTGGTCACCGCTTCATACGGCACTGGAGCATATGACGCGTCTTTGGGCAATCTGTATGGAAAAAGAATAGCCGGGTACAAAGACTCAAGGGTCGACGAGAATCTCTTAGAATACAGCAATCCTGATATTGTGAAGAACATTCGATGCAACTTTCCATCCAATGGATTTGGCCATGTCTACTGCACTGACAACCGGATCATTGGAGAGCACTATGATTTGTCCCACAGAAAGGGCCCGTATAGAGTAAATGCACACTTCGAATCTCCGTCAAAAGTCCAGGAGCCACCCAACTGTCTATCCTATCATCCGAATGCTCACAAAGATTTATTGATGGCAAAAAGAGTTGGGTTTACAGATAATGACCTGTTGCAAAGCAAGATGCACAAAGCTTGTGTCACATCCGACTGCAAAATGAAATACCCAGCCTATAGAAAGGGTGTTGCCAGATTCATAGCCCCGGCGGACGAGTTCCACGAAGTTTAAAGTAAATGATTTATTTGTAGTCTTTTTAGGCTAAAAGCCGAGTTTTTGAACACAAAGGTGTTAAATGTTTTGGCCAGTCTCAAACACAGACACGCTTTGCAAGCATTCAAATTAAGCACAGCAGAGTGAAAAATCAAATTATAGCGGACAATTAAAATGGAATGGGCTGTGTTCAGCCAAACTTGCTCGATCTGCCATTTCTTGTGTCAATGTTGTAATCGTCCTTTGCCTTTGTTCTCTCTTTCAGCTTCTCAGAGTTGATCTTGAACTTTTTTCGTGGATTTTTTGACTTCAAATGGCAAGCTTTTGGCTTGTTTTTCATCATTTTCTCATCAACAGTCCTGTCCCCGCTCACCTTCTCGGCATTCTTCTCCATGGAATTAACTTTGTCGAGTAGCACGGAAATCTTCAGCAGCTTTTCTTTGATTGGAGAGTCTTCTGCTTCGTCACTTGGCAACTCCAAATAAAGAATGTAGTTCAGCAGATAGTGCCTTAGGAGCTCCACTTTGCACTCGTTTGTAGCCTTGGACAGTTCCTGGACTGCTGTCTCCACCGGACTTAGCACCGATTCTTTGGCTTTCATTTGAGTACACGGTCCGGCAAAGAGTAAAAATTTAACGGCGGAACAGAGAAACCCAAGCAGAAGAGCCATCTCAACGGCACAAGATAAAGCTAGAAAACCAAGTGCAGGGGTCAGCATGCAGCTTCACTCCATTTGGCTGGATTTCCAGCTGCATTAACAAAGCCGCATTGTCTTATCTGTGGCATTGACAGCCATCTGTCTTTACTTCTCACCATAGATTTTTGTACCAAACGGTCTTTGTCCTCTCCATATAAGACGCCGTATTTCTCTGCTCATGGACGAGTTTTTCCAAAAGAACACTCTGCCAGAGACCATCTTCCCAAAACTCTTAATAAAGCACAGTGAGGAAGTGAGAAGCAGCCCAGAGTCAGAAGTGCTGTACTACAAGCAAGCTCACGAAGTTTACATGTACGAGTTTTTCAAGCACTGCAAACTGGACTGTGCAAGCGAGATTGAAGTCAACAATGTTAAGGGCATTGCCATGTCGCCCATCAGACTTGGAAGTTTCTCGACAAGCGACAGTGTAAATGAAGACCACTTCTTCAAGATGCTGGTCAAGGCGCCCGTGCCGTTTGTTTATATTCCACATGGAAACGTTGCTGCATCTTTGAAGGTTTGTAGCGGGGCTTGCAGCTTTAGGGAGTCGGAGGCAGAGGGCATTCTGATGGACCTTGGATTTGCATGCGAGCTGGGAATTGACTTCTTGGCTACCGACTTTCTTCTTAAAAGTGAGGTGTATTGTGTATATGTGGGTGTGGTGCATTATTGCTAGAACGCATCGAGGCTGTGCAAGCCTCAAGTAAGATCCAACTGCCTGCCCTTAATATTAACAATTAAAATTTTATTTACAATGTGCAAAAAGCTCCACACTTAAAATTAGAGATTTATTTAGAGCTCAGCTTTCTGTGCAATGCGGCCACCAACAGTTGTCATGTGCTTCTCATATTGGCTCATGAAGAGAGCATTGCAGATTCTAACAATATCGTCAAACTCCTTCTGGTCCTCGGGCTTGACACCTTCCAATCCAACAACAGCACTGGTCTTCACATGCACAAGACTTCCAAGAACACTCTTGCTGGGAACAATGGCATAGGGAATGCCGAACTTCTTGCAGAGTGTTGGAATGGATATGACCAGTGTAATTGGTGCAACATCGGCTGCAACCACAACAAGACCAAGCTTCTTCTGCTCAATGAGATCCACAACGTGTCTCAATCCAAATTTCAAGATGATGGGCCTTGGCCCCTCCTTGGGATTGGTCTTCTGGAGGCGCACGATCTTCTCGTCCTTTGTCTCTGGCCTGTACTTTCTCAGGATATCCAGGAGCCTGTCGAGGTCTGATCCCTGCAGCTGTGTCTTAAACTGATTTATCGGAGGGGGTATCTTGATGGCATTTGCCAAATTGTAGATCTTCTTTTGGATGGCTGCCTCTCTCGCCTCCGGATCAACCGGCTCTACCTTCCTGACTCTCTTGGTGGTCTTTCCTAAAGCCATGGGCTAAAATAAAAATTTTAACTTGTAAAATTTTTAAAAGCAAAAAGTCGCCAGATGTTTGCAAGAAAGCAGCCTTCAAGGCCAAAGCTTCTTGTTGACAAAGTGAACTGCTGTAGACGCTCTCTTTCAGCTCAAGCCAGTATTCAGCTGGGCATAGCTGCAAATCAATACAGATGTTTTATCACAACCAAGTTATTGATGGTGAAAATTTTAAAGTATATGAGGGAGAGCATTCGTCCCCTTTGCCACTCCAAACAGCAGGCCCGGCCTTGTGCAATCAGATACAACTTGGTTGGTTTTCCAATCACGCCAGGTCTGATGTGGCTGTCTGAGCATTAAAGAGTGTGTCTTGCTGTTCCAAGATGCTTTTTATTAATTAACAATCTACTGTCATTTTTTTATTCAAAACCCACTTGGATTTATCTTGAAAAAAATCAAAAAAATAAAATCTAGACGTTCAAAGCACAAGACTGGTGCGCTAAACACCACAGAAAACTGGGATAATTTTAGGAATAATTCACAGTGCCAGTAAAATGCACTTCCTTGTTTTTAATTGATTTTTACTTCAAAATTTCTTTACTGCAGCTTAAATAAAAATTTTTGACTTTCCTACCCATCAATGATATTTCGAGTGAATTGCGCACTGATACAGCTCTTAGGTCTGAAGAGTGCATTTGCAACCAGCACAGTAGTCGACGACGCAGAGGACAGAAATAAAGCGTGCTTTGATGACATCCAAAAAGAATACACAAATTCGATCAAAGCATTCAACGACTTTCTTGAGACAAACAACTTTGGAGGCTCGAAAAGCTCACAGATTGACAGTTTTGTCCACAATGTGATCAATCCCTCCCTTAAAGATGCCACGAACGATTTTGAGAAGTACTCCATTTCCAAAAATTCCGCCACAAAGGACAATGCCCTTTCACGTTTCTTTTTTGACATTTTCAATCCAGAGACTTTGGGAAGCAAGACCAAGGATATTTTAAGAACCGGACTGAATACCAGTGATGTTAGCAAGTGCTTGCTTGCCGATAGCATGATGACAGAGCTTTTGGCCATTGAAGCCATACCAGCGGAGTTTGAATCCGATGTTCTTCAACACGTTCTCAATTTCTACTTTGGAGCTTTGTTGTGTCTCACGAAAACGTATCAAGGCAGCATTGAGAGTGATACTCTTCAAGCATATTTTCAAACTATCCATAGCTCTGCAGTGGCTGTTAAGGACTTGGCCAACAGTGCTATAGAATTGGTTTACACTAGACAGGAGGATGCTGATTCTGAAGACATCAAGTTTGTTGCCAAAACAGGAGTTGACAAGGATGCCCTTACTGCAGGTGTTAAAAATCTTGAGAGCCAGATCGAGAACTTTGTGTTGCAGTCTGAAACTCTCCTAGGTAAGCTTTCTTCTAATCCTGTTGCCTCTTCAGTAAGCGATTATCGCAATGCTATTTTGAATGCCATCAATCTCATGGAAATGGCTAAGTCTATTGGAGATGTCATCACTAATTTCATTAAGGATAGCTATCCAAACGTCTTTTCCCGCGAGAATGGCGATTACTACGTTTTCCGTTTAGCATACTTCGTCGGGTATTTCGAACTTAGTAAGCAGATGGTCTATTTCTCTGTCTCCAAATCCCACTTCCACAATAAATTCATGAAGAAGCTGGAAGCCCCAGCAGGTGGGTTTCTGGATGCATTCGGATCATTAGTACCTAAAATTTTCGTAGAAGACGACGATTCTGATATTCACTTCCTTACTGGTGAATATCACGACTACATCCAGAAGGCCACAGATATTGATGTTAGCCCCACAGCCTTGGTCGTTGTCCCAGAAACCCCAGAAACAGACAACGATGCAGAGGCTGCACCAGAGACAGATGTACCAGTTATTGCCAAAGATGTGGAAAAGGCAGAAGAACCTTCTAGTGGAACGAAATGGTATGATCTCGTGCTCTACACTCTTGTATTGGTGGTTTTCGGAATTGGAGCATACTATTTCTATGCAAGGTATGCGAAGCTTAGCGAAATTGATTAAAAGGTTTACTTTTTAAATACATCTTGATAGTGCAGCTGTTGTTTATCTTTATTTTAACACGTTTATTGGCAGGTGCGCCTGGCATCAATTGCTGGTCTTTGATTGCTGCACAGGGCTTTACCACTTTTGTAGCCCATCTTGTTGCACTGCCAGATAGAGCTTGAACGCGAGCGAGCGCATCTTATGAGAGCACTATTCAGAACCACTTTTATCTCCCTTATGAAAATTTTTGTATCGCACACGATTCTACCAGACAGAACAGTCGTTTCGGATGATGCAAAGGAGAGGAATGTCGATCTTTCAGAGCCCATACAGCTCGTGTTCGTCGACGGCAAGGTGACAGTAAGGATATTTAAGCAGCTATACCTGGCAGGGATGGATGCATACTTCGTGGTGAAAAACTTGGAGCAATTTATATTCAAAATGAGACTCTTCAGAAATTTGGAGATTAAGGTTGTCGACGGAGAATCTCCGACTAGAGACAGGGAGCTTCCAAAAGAGATTGTAGATGCATTTGGGGCCAAAAATGCGCCAGCTGCTGAAAGCCAACTGGACAGGATGATCGAGAGGTACATACAAATCGAGAGGAAGCTTAGAAAGAGGGACGTGGATGATGGGTCAATTGCGAGAGGGGTGGAGCTGAGCTTTAGACCCAGGATCTTCGAAGCTATAAGGTCTAGCTTAGAGAACAATGAGCTGTATAAAAGCAAAGCTACCATTTCACACAAGATATTCGGGCTATTAAAAGGTGGAAAAAAAACAATACACGAGATTGAAACGGTGAATGGCGCGGTGGAGAGTGTCCACAGAACACTGAAGAGCATGGTGTATTCTGGGATTGTGGTGAAGAAAGGCGAGTATTTCCTACTATCGGAGATATTCTGCTAAACGCTTCTGGCTTCCTGGGGTGGTTGCCAAGGTTGCGTGCCTTTCATGGCTGGAGACTTGGATTTAAATATATTTAATTTGTCATTAAAGGATTGTTGTTAGGGATTGTAAGCAGACTTGACATACGTGCATGGTCCTTTGCCACATGAGTTGAGCGTATCTTGTGAGGGTCACCACGTGCTTTTGCTGCTACGCAAAAATTTACCGTAAAATGGACGAAAGATGCGAGGAGGATCGACAGAGCAGCACATTCGACATAGTTCAAGCACCAAAATGGATGAGAAGAGAGGATCTGCCGCCAGAAATAGTGCTGGATGTTCCATTTGAGGTGAAGGGATGCCGGTTTGTTCTTGCGAAAGCGCAGTCCCAAGATCTGAGTACATGTAGTCTTGATTCCTCAAGTGGCCTTACTACTGCGCCCAATCCGTCGGGGAATTACTATGTAATCAGGCGGATAGGCTAGAGAGAAAAACCAGGCACATTCCTGCATCTGTTCTCGTTGCGCAAGATAGTTTACTGATGGAAAGTGGCGGTTTTCACTATGGCCCATGCTTCTCTTTATGCTGTTCGTGTGGTTCCCATATACTATTTTGGATTGGCTGGCTGTTGACCAATCTTCGGAGAATGATGCATAAATTCTTCTAAGTAGAGACCCCCATGAGAATTCTTGAGAAATTAACGAAGGAGAGGGTGGAGGAAAACTCTGAAACACTGGAGCTCACCGGCGGCGAATTTCTGTACTACGACTTCAGCAAGAGCCACATTGCAGAGAACGACAAGGAAGAAATCAGAAGCAAGATCCTCAGCAACGGCTTTGAGTCGAAGATTGAGGGAATGCTGCAGGGCAGAAACATCAACACGACAGAGTCCAGGCCGGTTCTTCATTATCTCCTGAGGGATGAGAGGGTGCTGCTGCAGGTGGAGCAGATTTTGGGCAATGAGGAGAGTGCCAAGAAGGCCAAAACCTCAGGTGACGTTATTAGTAATGCGAAAGAAGAGATTATTGAAGAGCTGGCCAGGATCGCTCGATTTTCCGAGGCTTTTGATGGGATGGAGGGAGTAACGAGCAAGACGTTCGACACTATTGTGAATATAGGAATAGGGGGAAGCGACCTGGGGACCCAGGATGGTAACAGATGCTTTGCAGGCCTATTCCAAGGGCAGAAAGGTGTTTTTCATTTCAAACATTGACCCAGCAGACACAGTGAGGGTTTTTAAGAAAATTGATGTTGAAAGAACCTTGTTTATTGTTGTCAGCAAAACGTTTACTACGGTTGAGACCATGGAGAACTTTAAGCTTGCATTGGGGCTTATGAAAAGCAGGCTGAATGGCAGGTTCAGTGAGGAGGAAATATGCAACAAGCACTTTGTAGCTGTCAGCTCCAACGTTCCTGAAACATCCAAATACGGCATCCAAACGGTATTTAAAATGTGGGACTTTGTTGGAGGGCGGTACTCTCTTTGGTCGGCTGTCGGGCTTTCGATTAGTCTTTACATTGGGTTCGACAACTACGCTGGGCTGCTTAAGGGAGCCTCGCAGGCAGACAAGAACTTCTTTACCCGCAAGTTGGACTCAGTCTCTTTCAGAATGGCCGTCAATGAGCTATTTTACATTTCCCGAGGATTCAACAACAAGTGTCTGGTATGCTATGACAGCTACCTTGAGCTGCTGTACAAGTATCTACAGCAGGCAGAAATGGAATCCAATGGCAAGCACGGATGCAAGCAAATGATCATCTGGGGCGGTGTCGGCACCGATGTCCAGCACTCGTTTTTCCAGCTTCTCCACCAAGGAGAGCAGAACATCTATCTTGAGCTGCTGTGTCCCGTCAAAAATATCAGTGAAGAAGAAACAGACAGGTCAGTTGTTGAAAACATGGACATGATCAAGCGCCACCATCTGCTACTGGCGACATCCTGCCTTGCCCAAAGCAGAAGCATGCTTGTTGGCAAAGAGTCTGAAGACGCCAATCATTACTTTGCAGGCGATAAGCCGAGTGTGACAATTCTGTATTCAAAGCTAGCACCAGAAGTACTTGGGGCAGTTCTTGCGGTCTATGAGCACAAGATATTTGTAGTGGGAACATATTTCAACATAAATTCGTTTGACCAGTTTGGAGTTGAGCTTGGCAAGGCCTTGACGAAGGAGCTAATGGGAGAGCTTAGTGGAGAGGCACCAACCAATCCAGATGCATCTACGTCCAAGCTTCTCAGTTTCATGAAGAAAAATTAAATATTTTCTGCAAGTACGACTTTGCATAGCCGTTTGGTGTGGTGTTTTTACGAGTTTATTTGCCAGGATTTGTTTTGGCTTCAGTATTTGTCATGCTTGTCGTGCAGGCCCATGCACACATACCAGGACAGACTCAGAAGCTTTGAGAAGTGGCCGGCTGACTATGAGACATTCACAAAACGCCTGGCAATCATGGGGCAGTATTCGACCGACAGCACAACCCGTTCGTCGTGCTGTGTGTTCTGCAACACAAGGTTTGAGCAGTGGGAGCTTTCCATGACTCCGCTGCTTGAGCACTTGAGCTGCAACCAAAATGCGTGCCCCATTTTCAGACTAAAGTACCTGAGCGGCAGAAAGGCGTTGAGCCAGATCAAGCCATCAGCAAAGATGTCCCAGATTTCTCCTGAGATAGCCGAGTACCTGAACAGAAAATTCATACAGCTTAACGTTACGGACCAGGATCTGTTTCTGTGCATGAGATGCGGATCAGGCAACCTGAGACATGAGTGCGATGGAAAGGTGCAGTCGATCAGTAAGGGGATGGACCTAAAGCTTGCACAGTTCTTCATCAGGTATTTGAATGGTGATTATATTGAGCAGGCTGACCTATACATCAAGAGCGTGCAGTCTTGAAGGAGGAGCAAAGATCTGTGATCAGCTATCTCCTAAGCAGCGACAAATCCAACGTCTGTGCCTTTGAGACCCTTGAGGCGTTTCTACAGCGCAACTCCGACAAAGTATTCCAGGACCTTGAAAAGAAGATGAAGGCAATTGAGAGCTCTGCAGTTGAGGCCATGTACAATGAATCGATGATAATTTAGCATCAATAAAGTAGTTTGGAAGCACCATGGTGTTTGAAAGCCTGCGATTCCAACAGACATCAGCAGCTTGTCTTTGCACAGATGTCTTCCTTTCTCTGTGCAGAAAATTTTAAAAAATTTTTGGAACGTTCCCCTGCAATGAAGATAAACATTGCTTATCCTACCAATGCCAGCCAAAAGAGCTTTGAAATCAAGACCAAGGAAGAGCAGAGGCTCTACGGCAAGAAAATCAACGACCAGTTCGACGGTGCACTGATTTCGCCGGAGCTTGCAGGCTCGGTCGTCCAGATTGTTGGTGGGAACGACTACCAGGGAGTCCCAATGACAGCGGCCCAGGCCACAACCAAGAGAATAAGGCTGCTGCTTTCGAAGGGAGATGTTGGATACCGGTGCAGAAGACGTGGTGTTAGGCGAAGAAAGACGGTTCGGGGATCGATTGTTTCGAATGAGATACTTGTGCTGAATGTCGTCCTTGTCAGGCCAGCAGAGGGCAAGACAGTCGAGGGGCTTACAGATGTTGTAAAGGAGAAGACGCATCTTCCAAGAAGAGACAGGAAGCTCAGGGCCATGTTTGGGATTCCAGAGGAGGAGGACACGGTCTCTTATATCCATAGGATTATCAGGGAAAATGACGAGAATGCAGTGTTGCCCAAGATAAAGATCACAGGCGTTGTGTCTGAGGAGAGGAAGCAGAAGATCGCAAAACGTAGAGCTGAGAAGGAGGCCAAGAAGAAGGCCCTGCTTGCAGAGAAAGCCGAGTATGAGACGAAGTATGGTATTAAACTATAATTTTCTACTAGTTCTGTACTGTTTGTGTGTATTTGTATAAAATTTCATGCTGTTGGCTCAAAAGCAGCTGAGGACATGTGCTTGAATGCCAATATTATTATGAGCATATAGCCATGGCACAGCAAACGCGTCTTTCTGTTCATTATCTGCACAAGCACGTCTTTTGAATAGTGCCAAACTGGTGCACAAAAATTTTCCCCGATGGCTAAGAAAGACGAGGCGCTGGCGGCACTAAGTCAGTTTGTAAGATACAGGTTCTTTACCAGTACCTACCTAACGGAAGGTGCATGGAACAGCGTCGTGCCAGCATGCCTAAATAAGATTGCACTCGCAGTTTCAGGCAGTATTATTCTCTATTCGTTCTGGTGTTTTGTTTATTTTATGAGAAGATGCACAGGCACCGACTTTTCCTACAGCACAGCAAGCTTTACCGAGGGTTTGCCTACTTTTGCATTGCATTACTCTTTGTTCTGGATTGTTTCTGCCTTAGAACGCTGCTGTCATACCAAAATCCCCAGACATTCATATTCAACCACATCGCGTTGATTATACTTGTTTGGATGTCGCATGCATTGCTCTATCTGTCTATCGTTCTGTCCCAGCTACTGTTGGATAGTGCTGGATGGATACCTTTCTGGGACACACAAAAGGACAGCGCATTGCTCTGTGTTTTTCTTATTTCCGAATTTCTCTGCATTGTTCTGTCAGTTTGTCTGATGGCAGTGTTTCCCAGCCTGGGTGTCTTCTCTCTACTTTTCGTTTTAGGATTTGCCCTGAAGCTCATATGCTCGCTACTTGCGTGCTCCACAGTGGCACAGACATTGCACTGTCCCTTGAGTGCCAAGGAGTGTACTTACGAATCAGTGCTAGAGTGCAAACAGACAATCATATCGTTAAAATATTAGCCCTGATCTCCAGCTGTTGATTGCTATCGGTGCTGGTCCCACCTTTGTGCCAAAGAATACGCCTCGCCTTTATTACTTGGGCGGTCTTTGTGCAGCCTGCTGATATTTACTTTTGTTTGCTATTTGGCGGTCCCAATAATGCTAAGGGAAGTCGAGCAGCTGGCTGTAATTTCTATTCCCGTTCTCTGCATGCTGGCCTTCTCCCAATACTCTGGGCGCATGCTGTATCAGTTTGCAATCCTTATCGTTTCGCAGTACATCTCTATTTTGATTCCGTCTCTCATTCCGTACCTGGTTGTTTGTCTGGCCTTGATAGTTCTGATTAAATCCTTGGGAGCTGGAAGCCAGAATGTCAAAAAGAACATAGAGCCCAGACTCTTCTTTGACTTGGCCCGGTTTATAACCATCACCCAGACCACCATTTGCATTTTTCTGTGCGATTTTGATTTTTGGGACTCAAGGTTTTCCAAGAATGACGGATACTCAATAGGGCTGATGGACTTGGGTGTGGGGTGCTTCATGTTCAACGGCGGTGTTACTTCATGCAGAATAGCGAGAAGAAAGATGATAAGAAGCACAGTGCTGCTCTTTCTGTTGGGACTGCTGAGGCTGCTTGCAATAGGCGCATTCAACCTCCACGTCAATCCGAAAGAGTATGGCATACATTGGAACTTCTATTTTACACTCTCTGCAGTTAATTTTCTGTATATTCTGTCCAGTCTTCTGCTAAACAACTCGTGTTCAAAGCTTCTGCTGGGAATAGCACTGGTCATTGGATATGAGCTTGCCTCTCCGCAGGTTTCAGACCTGATCTTCAGAGCCGAAAGGTCCAATATGCTCCTCCAAAACAAGGAGGGTCTTTGTTCTCTTGTTCCCTTTCTGGGGTTTTTCCTAATACTCAACCACATAGGAAGCTTAATTCTGGAACGAAACCTGAAGAAAGCCACTGCGAATCTTAGTATGCTCTGGTGCATAAACACCGCAGTGTATGTGGTTGCAAGAACATACTCGTGCGCTTCAAGAAGGCTGTGCAATCTTGCGTATCTGTCCTGGGTCCTGTTTATCCAGTTCACCTTTATTTGGCTCTTTATGAAGGCAGCACACCACTGCCCATACTTGATTAACAACACTGGGTTTTTCAAGCTTTGTAGTCAGAATATACTTCATGTTTTTCTGTTCAGCAACCTTCTTGTTCTACTCTTCAAGCTGTACTTTGATCTCAGCAGCATGACATACGTTGCAGGTAATGCTTTGAATCTGGCCTATCTTTTCCTCAGCTTCGTGGCACTGCCAAAGATACTTGGAATGCAAACAAGCCACTGCAAGACCACAGCTAATTAAATTCAACTTAACACCATGCTGTTTGTTTTTTATTTGATTAGACGCCAGAGCCCGCACACTCTCCTCTCAAATACTGATGACACTGATATCAAAGTGTCACAAACACAATCAAAACATTAAACTAGACATAAACACCATAATACATCCATCAATTTAATTATGCTGCATCCTATCCTTTGAGTGTACAACGAGATGTCAAAGATGACATATGTCGAGAGTCCCATCAAAGTCGATTAATAGTGTTGTGAATAAACTCCAAGGCCTCCTTAACCTTCCACAGGCTTGCCTCGTCGCCATTGTCCAAACTTCCCAAAACATTCTGGATGTCTTCTCCTATCTGATAAAGCTTTGTCGTGCACTCTTGGAAAAGCTGATTGTCCATGGGTAAAAAGTTGGAGAAATATATAAACACAGATCTTAAAGTAAATTAATTAGACAGATGTAAACAAGACTGGAAGAGGGATAAAATGCAAAGCACCCAGTTTTCAAACACATGGCTTTGGATGCTTTGGAGTGCAGCTGTTGCAAGCATTCAACTAAGCTTACTTTGTCTTTGTTCTTCGCGAGATATCATTCACTTCCATCAACAAACATTCAATACAATCTGACAGCAATAGTTATACTGTAGAAAAGCCACATATTAAATGTAGAGATGCAGACAGCTATCCTCGCATTCCAAGCAGTGGATTTTACTATGGTATCGCACAGCACAGCATCGCTTCTCGATCCGAGGACAAGCAGCGCCAACAGACCTGCATACCGTTTGCAGTTTCTACCTTTGTCCTCCTTTGCCCCAAATGGACCAAGTCCAAAGACTTCAGAGAAAGGCACTCATGGAGGACCTATTCTATCTTCTGTCGGGCTTTGACACCTCCAGCACTTTTCTGGCCGACAACCCACCATCCATCAGCTGCACCTCGTATGACTTGAGCTGCTTCTTGCCTTTTGAGTTTCTCATTTTCAAAATTAGGGAGTTCTACAAGGTTGAGCCATTCGACGGCTTCGTACAAAGCTATCTGAAGAAGCTTTCAGGCCTGAAGAACAAGGTCGAGAGCACCGAGGAGCTATTTGTAAGTCTGCAGGAGGAGTTCCAGTTGTTCAGGGATTTAGACAGGATATACAACGTGGCGCTTAAGAATCCCAGTGATTTTCCGTTCTCAGCAAATAGGAAAAACCTGGCGGATGTCAGTATTGATGTTCTTAGGGGCTTTCAGAGCCAGGAAACAGCAGAAATCATGAGCTGCATTAACAGGTGGATTAACCAGGCAGACCCCACAGCCCTGGTTGAGGTCAGGATACCCGAGGAGTTCACGACATCCCACTGGAAAGACATGTTTAAGATCAAGGCAATTAACTTGGGAAGGTGCAGCTGGAGGGCATAGAAACGGCAGGAAAGGCGGTGTTCTTCATTAGAATGCTGTTTGGGATTGAAATAATTGATGACGCATCAGCTGGCAGCAATTTCACCAGCAGCTACGCTATCAAAAGGAAGCTGCCACCAAAATCACCGATTAAGAGACTTGGGCTACAGGAGACACAGTGCCACACTTCCGACACTCTAAAGTGCGAGAACGAGGGCAGCCCAGTCAATTTGACAAGGGAGGAGACTGTCCAGTCCAAAGACAATCTATGCTCGAGAATGGAGAGTGTGCACTTTGATGATCCAGAGCGTCTTCAGCCTGTCAGCTACAGGGGCGATATTACGCCGCGGCGGACTGAGCTGTCGTCAATACTTAGCGGTCTAATGGCCAGCCAGCTTGTGATTGAGCTGAAGCTTATCCAGGATGTTGTCCTGATGCAGAATGGCTGCTTCTTTGGCAATCTTTTTGCACTTTTGAACGCAGTTTGTTTGGAGACGGCCCAGTGATTCGTGAGCTGAATGAGTATTACAGAGAGGGTATGTTTTCTAAGACCGGCGCTGAGGGTTTTGGCACGGAGAGCTCTGGCCGCTTCAAGGGAAGAACCAAGATAGGACACAGGGTCTTTGAAAACGCCGAGTTTATTGCTTTTGAGCAGTGCGACAGCTCACTGGGAGAGTATGTTATGAAGCTCTTGAAATTTCAGAGAATGGCACATGAAAACCAGTTTTTGATTAACATCCAAAGGATAGGCATTTCATTTAAGGACGGTCTTCTTCAGTACTTCGTTCCCAGGAAAAGCTGTTTTGAAATGGAGATACTGTTCAGGTTTCTGTTTTCGATATCCTCTTCAATACACTACCTGCAGAGGGCCAGGAGCTACAACTTTACAAGGGTTCTCTACCTGGTCTTTATGAAGATTAAGAGCGAGAACCTTGGCTTTCTGTCAGAGTTCTTCAGCGAAAAGTACATTGAAGAAGCAGGCAGGCGTGTGGAGGAGCCTGGGCATTCCTCCAGTGAGCTGCATGGCTTTTCTGTTGATGGATTTCCAGAGCGCTTTTCGGCCATTGTTTCGGAGCTTTTGAACAGGTTTTATATTACGAATGATGAGGTGTTCTCGATTTGGGCGAGAATGATTGACATATGCCTGGAGTATTTACAAATTGAATACAAGGACCACATCATCGCGTCAGAATATGATCGGCAGGTCAGGAGCTGTGTGACGGACTTGATCGACCAAATATCGAAGAATTACGGGGAGTGCGAGTTTACAGATTTCCTGAAAAATTTGGAGGTAGAGAAATACCTGTGAATAAGATCGGCAAGGCCCACTGTGGCTTTCTTTTAATTAAATGCCCAGTCCCAACTTCTGTACTGTAGTGTGATGGCGAGTAGCTAGCCAAGCACATATGAGATATTGGGTGCCAGCAAATTGCTGCTGCACTCACTCAGTAGCAAAAAACATGCTAGTTTTGTGTCACACAACCCATCATTTGTTGATGTACTGCTTTTGAAAATGCCTTTTCTCGTCGTCCCATACCCACATGGGACTCTTCTCAAAGCTTTGGAGATTTAGGACTGCACCGATTAAAACAACCTATGACACATACAACCGCGAAGCACTTCAAATAATAACGCCAAACATGTTCTCGGGACTCAGGGCCGAAATATCCAAGACTGTCCTGCCATTCTGCCAGATCTCAAACATAAGGACCAACAGCACAAACCAAACTTTCCTGACGCTCAGCTCAAGAAACAGCGTCTTCCAGTTTTCGTTCGACAGCAACAGGAACTACCAGCTGAAGTCCTCACTGCTCACAGGACCCCTTGTGAGCAAGTTCCACTCGATAATATCGCACAAGAAGGAGATTTTCAATCAATTTGAAGCAGTGCTAAACTCGAGATTTTACAATGTTGCCCTCAAGCTGATCAGTCCTACATTTGATGCATCAAACCTCGTCTATATTGTGACGTATTTTGTGTCTCTGGGATTCCTGGACTGCGGATTTGAGGTCGTCGGGCTGAGCAACGAGCTTGGAATCAGCTTCTCATCACGAATCGAAGGCAAAGACAGCGTCTACTGTGCAAACATCCAGAGATTCAACACGCTGGCACTGAGCTTCTACCACAAGGTATTGGAGTTTTTGGAGCTCGGGGGAGAGATAAAGAGGTCTCCGAGTAGCCTTTCATATGCGGCAGGCATGAGAATAAGGAACTACAGAAGCGATGTCAGGTGTTCAATAGACTCAAGCAGGAACGTATACTTTGACTGGAGCGAGTCGCTGTCCGAGAACCTGAGGATCGAGTTTTCATCCTCGTACGACTGGGAGGACTTTGAGTATGGAATAGGACTGAGCTACGAATCATAAATAAATTTTAGATATTTGATCTTTGGGTGTTTGGTACTTGTTTAATTTGGGAGTGTAGAGTGCCCACAGGCCGGTTCTGTGTGCACGTCTGCACTCACAAACAGGCTTCAGCCATTTCTTCTTTTTTACCCCAAAGCAGACATGCCGGAGTTCAAGTTTGAGTATGAGGCTTATTTCAAAAGCGAGATGAAGAGTGGCGACGACTTTCTGGCATTCTACGACCAAGTAGACATTGTAGATTTTGCGTACAACAAGGAGCTGGAGCTTTTTACATACCCCTGCCCGTGTGGAGACGTGTTTGTGATTTCTCTCGATGATCTAAGGACGGGAGAGACAATAGCACGATGCAGCTCGTGTTCGTTGCTTGTGCAGGTGGTGTATGGCGAGAAAGATATTGCAAAATACGGGTAACGGGACT